ATACATGTACAAAAATTAAATAAATATAATTTATTAAAACAAACAATAACAACAATACTTAAACACAAATATACCCAGATTTATTAGTTGCCGTTTTTCTCACTTTTAATTCTGCAAACTCGTCAATTAGTTTGATATAATTAATAGAGCTATTTAATAACTCATTTTCTATTAATTTTTGTTGGCCTAATGTGGATATTTAAAATTTTTTATTCTGGCCATTACTGAGAATGATCTTTCACCGCTTGCATATCTTATTGGAAGGGTTAAATAAATTTTCAAAATTATGTTAGGGAATGTTGCAATAAATTTATTTTCCCGAATAAATGACCATGGATACAGGCGCAATAATATTTTCTTTACTTATAAAAGTCTTAAATTGTAATACTTCATTTTCAGTTCTGCTAGGTTTAAATTTTGTTCATAACATTTTAATTCCTCTATTGAAGAATTACCAACATCACTATCATGAAAAATTGTTTTGATACAAACCTAATTTTCGGGCTCCAGGCACGTTTCTAGTGTGCCTAGGCCTTAGTCCGCCCCTGGGTAGAGAATTTACTTCTTAAACCTGAGTTTTAAGCTACCCTAAATGTTAACTTATTTACCAATCAACTGACCTAGGAATAACTTTGTCCACGCTTTTTATCATTGTATTTTTATTTTACTATGAAAAAGTCAAAATACAGTAAGTTCACATTCGACAAACTCAGTAATATTAGATTGCAACGACAGGATGCTCATTAGGAATTGATTGAGGCTTTCACGGCTGCCGTCCGAAGAAACTGAATTTCCGGATTCTAACCGTATCTTATTGCGTAAATTTTACCCAACTCGAATGCTTTCTGTAACTCTGAACCATACCCTGTAATTGCGACTTCCAATATAGGGTGTTTCTGAAATAAGTGCCGAGTTCCAGCAATACCACCTAGACTATCAAGGCCAGGGCTCTCTAACGTCAACGAGTTAATTAGTCATCATAAGAAGGCGGTTAATCAATTAACTGCACTCATTTTGCATACATTCATAAGCTAAAGGTTTCTCCCAGTGTTACCTCATTTAATTAAGTTTTATCTAGTTTTACCTGGCCTTTACTTGATCATAATTTATATCAATTGTTTTACGTATCTACTCCTCCTAACTTCCGTTTCTGTCTCTAATATCCCTTTGACTAGACCTTCATGCCTGAAGAGTCCTCTGTTCTCTTACCCTTTCTAATATCCCTTCATTTCTAACCTTCTCTATTCACGGTATCCTCATCATTTGCCTGTAACACCACATTACGAACGCTTCTAGCCTTTTCTTTTCCTCCGCGCCCACCGTCCATGTGTCACACCCGTACAGCGCCGTGCTCCAAACATACACCCTTAAAAACCTTTTTCGAATTTGTAAATTAATATTCGTTTCTCTCGCCGCCTTTAGTATTGCTCTGTCTTTTTACTTAACCTATCCCGCGTTTCTTTACATTTTTGTTTTCTAAATCAAGACGTTTCCTACCTTCCCTCTTTTTCAGAATTTTCAATTTAAGATTGGTTTTCATACTTAACTAAGTTATGATCGCTATCTATATCTGCTCCTGGAAAACTCCTATAGTTCTTCACTTGATTTTTAAATCTTTGCCTAGCAAGTATGTAATGTAACTAATACCTCCCTAAATCACCTGGAATCTTCCACGTATAGCGCCTCCTAACGTCATGATTGAATAAAGTATTCACGACGGTTAAGTTATGTTTATCGTAAAATTCTATCAGCTTATCTCCCCTTTCATTTCTATTACCTACTCCAAAAGAGCCTGTTATTGCACCCACTTTACTGTCACCTATTACTGCGTTGAGGTCTCCTACAACTATTAAGTTTTCCTGCCCTCTTACTAAACTTAATACGTCTTCTATATCTGCATAAACCGCTTCTACGTCTTAATTATCTGCCGAGGTAGTCCCCGCCCGGACATCCGAATGGGGAACTAGTTTACGTCCGGAGCGCTTTACCCCAGAGGACGCCATCATTTAATTGTGTGGTACGTTCTTCTTTGGATCATAATGTGGTGGTTCCCCTTGACTTTCACGTCGCAGTATTGTGCATTAGAGTGCCATACCAATTCTCGTGAGCTCTGCCACCCTCAGTACTTTCAGGGATTTGTCTTAGTCTGGTTTCTCTTTGAGAACCCCCCCCCTCCATTATGGCTGAATCTATGGTCCGGCTCCCTAAATCATCGAAACTCGCAAGCCGATCCACCCACTCTAGTTTGTACAAGAGTTTTGTCAAGGTCAAAAACATTTTAATTACTTACATTAATAATTTAAATTTGGAAGACAAATTTAAACAATATCACATGTAATAGTTATATTAAATGTCATGCGATCTCGTAGCCCCATGAACCACTTACCAATACTATTATCCTTTTAGCTATTTTACAATAATAATATGTACCAGAACTGTCCAAATGACAGTGGACTACATAAATAACTATTTGTTAAAGTATGTCTAATAAACTCATAAGTTAGCATTTTTCGGGTGGTCCTGTATTGCCGGTACAGATATTTCATTCCTTCGGTTTCAAAATGAACCTGATCCCATCCGTTAAAAGAGTCAAACCTGAACTCACTGTAACATCTCTACATACCAAAATAAACAGCGGTTATTAGTTATAATCTAGTTATTGTAAAAAGTTTGCGAATTTTGTTTATTTTGCTAACCTTAATATCAGTGTTAATAATTCGTCATTGTGTTCAGTAATACTGTAAATAAATCTTCTCACTTGTGCTTTCTGTAGTGCTGTATATGTACCTACCTATTATTTAGTTAGTAGATCCTTAGATTAGTCCTCTGCTGAAAGTTTTTGTTGAAGCTGAACGAATTATTATTTGTAAATAAATTTTTTCAACTAACCGCCTTTACTTTTAAAAACCCCTTCCATAATTAATTATGAGCCTGATATTCAGAGACATATCCAAGAGATTAATTATTTCATAAGAACCTGAAATAATTAATTATTGCAGGAAGATTTTAAAACAGAATTGTTAAAAGAAGCAGAGGATTTGCAAAAAGATCGCGTTCAACTTCTTGAAGTTTTCTTGGAAACTGGGCCGTTTTCGTCATCAATTAATCCTAAAGATGCATTAAAATATTTGTCTGGAATCAGAGCACAACTCAAACTTATAAGGGAAAGAGAAGATCGCTTGCGAAGAGACTTGGGTATTTTCGACATTAGCTTGCCAGAATCAATAGAATTGAAAAGACTTGAGCAGGTAGATAAAAACAGTAATTCATGCCATACGTACAGTTTGTAACGGAAACTTGTTTGTCTCGTTTATATACGAGGGTGGATTGATAAGTTTCCGGCCTGACCAAGAAAAACAAGGTTTTTAAAAATTTTTTTTTTTTATTTCTCAACATAATCTCCTCCAAGGCTGATACATTTCTCATAGCGGTGTTCCAGTCTATTAATGCCATCTCTATAGACTGATTCGTCAAGCTCCTCA